ACCTAGGATACTAATTCAGGCCTGTTTGCCTCTAAAACTACAACATTCTCTCTATACCACAGTGCCCTTCAAAATAGTTTCCCAGAAAACAGAAGTCAAGAGAAAGGAATTTTAAAAAGTGACAGGAGACTAGTTTATTATCTAAGGGAACAAACTGCTTATATCAATAAGCTAGACCATTTAATAACTCATTTATACAAACACTAATTCCAAAATATATAATTTATGTTCACTATTGCTCACAGAAATTTCTGATCTAGCCCCACCCAATTAGTAACATAATACTTATTTTTAAAAATTGTCTCTTTTCCTAATATATGTTTGCACGTATAGGAGGATTAGGAGGAACTTAACTGAGGAACAAGGGGGAGAAGGGGGGAAATGGTGGGGGAAAGGGAGAGAGGCAAACCATGAGAGACTCCTGAATGCTGACAAAAACTGAGGACTGATGGATGGGGAGGGGGGGGAAGGGGGATGGGCATGGAAGAGGGCACTTGTGGGGATGAGCACTGGGTGTTATGTGGAAACTAATTTGACAATAAACTATTTGTAAAAATAAATAAACAAACCATTATAATAAAAAAATTGTCTCTTTTCCTTCCTCAGAAAAGAAACATTATAAATTGAAAGTTTTAAAAGACCATACTGTATCAAATAAGTCAACAACTTTATTCTAATTACCAGTCTTTTCAGTCAAGGGCTGACATACTTTGCAATATGTGCTTTTAACCACGGTGAAAGGTGATTTTTTAAATAATTACAGGCCATTCACTTAACCAACTTAGTAAAAAAGATGCAATATGGCAGAAGCAATGGAGCCGGGGGACAGAAAAAGAATGAAGATGGTACAAATGACATTTCTGGCATGTTTTGCAAATAATAATCAGATCCACTGTTCAATAAATACTACTGGGGCAAATGTACCATGAAGACAGCTGGCACTGTGTAACTTCCCAAAAGCCATCCAATCTCTGTTGTGTATCTTTCTCAGCCACCTAGAGGCAGGCAGTTATTGGCGTTTCTTGAGGTTGCATGTGTGGGCAGGCAGGTAAGATAGAAATAAATAAGGTGGTTCCCAGTAAAACCATGAAGGCTTCAAGTTCAAGAGTGTTCCCACAAGACTCTCATTTCTCCTCTTCACTTTCAGTAGTATTCACCCCATTTTCCAGGCCCCAATATCTGTCATACCTCTGACTACTAGTCCAAACAGGAGAGAATGATATTCTTTTTAATGCTTGGAATGAAATTTCTCTCTACGACAATATTAACATTCCCAAGAATTAGAATCTTTGGTTACTGTCGATAATTAAGAAAGGTTTTAAACATATTAAGGTTTCATATTAAGGCTTCTTATTATAGTGGAGGAAGTAATTTTTATTGTCCCTAAAAATCACACTTTATCTCTGAGGTGGGCTTTCATCATTATAGACTACCTGGAGTCTAGTGGTTGAAATCAGAAAGGATAGCTAGTCTGAGCTAGTCTATTCCTTTCACATCTTAACTCACCTCCCATCCTTCTCCTCTAAGACTCCCAGATGCCAGGGGCATGAATCTGTTCATACTGTCCTCCTAACAATGCCCTATGCCTGTGCCTTGATCTGGGCTTTCACCTTCTGTAAACACTCCCCATCATCATCATAGCTATACTAGCTGAGTTGGTCCCAGGCAGTCCTGCCTTTTGGCAATAGAGCTCCTGCTGCTTAAAAATCTCTAGCACTCAAGGCACTGAAGAGACCATGGGAAGCAGGTGGCAGCAGTATGACAAGGGAAGTGGAGAAGGAATGGCAGGATGGGAGGGAATTATAAAATGAATCTTGGCCTTAAGCATGTTATGTTGAAGGCAAGTCAAACTCCCAACAAATAAGGAAGAACATTTTTTTACAGTGAGTGACAGCATGAATGTGTCTGTTGGGTTAAAGATGGTATTCAGACATGGAGGGAAAAAGTCAACATTATTTAAGCTCCTCATAATGAGCAATGAAGTAAAAAGGGATGAACTAACTCTGGCTGTGGAGTTTTGCATCAAGTGTGAAGCTGGGCTTGATAAACCCTTAAGATGGATTCCTTCACAGATTTCTCTAAGTGGTATTGATTAAAGGGGAATGACCAATTAATATCTGCTTTGTGAGGTGCTTTGGGACTAAAGAAGAATTTGACACATAGGTAAAAGAACTCAAAGATAAAATCCCTCAGTATGTCACACTCAGACAGCTAGATATCTGAGGCCAGTGGTTCAGTGCTGTGGTATGAAAGGGGGCTGTTCCACATTGGCCCATCTGCCTCATTCTAAAAGTCATTTGGATAGTAAATGCCCCTATTCCTGACCCCAATTTCAGTGTTGGCTCTTCCCTCCCCCATATTACAAGTGAGGAATGTATAAGTCTGTAAAGACGCTACCCACTCAAGGTTCCAGAGACAGGTGCTACACTGTCACTTGACTCCTTGGAGATGAATCTCAAACTTTATAAAGTAAGGTTATTAACACAGTTTTTCTTTTTGCTATAAAGGCATGTTCAAGCAAAATTTCAAGATCATCATAAATATAACTAGTGAGGAAATAATTTAATGACATAAAATAATATATAGCTTTTTCATTAAACTATCAGCTCTTTGCTCACCCTGAGTGATTAGTTCAAGGAATCAAAAGTGCTGAATTGAACAAGTGATGCCAAAAAAAATCCTTTAACAGGATAGAAAAGAAACATCCAAAAATAAAGAATTAGATAAAAATGTTACTGTTGCTTTCAAACTACTGTAACATTTAAAAAATCTGTATTATATAAACAAAATGTTCTATTAACCAGATCTTCCAGTAGAAGCTTGACATATACTTCATAAAAATCTGCTTTTAACTTTGGTTCTAGTATATCTAACACAAATAAAGATTTCTTTTAACTCATTTAATCCTCAATTCTAAAAAGAAGGCTCTCTTGTTGTTCAGATGAAAACATTGAGGCTAAAAAAGTTAAGAAAAAGAGAGAGAAACAGCGTGAGTAGGGGAGGGTCAGAGAGAGAGGGAGTCACAGACTCTGAAACAGGCTCCAGGCTCTGAGCTGGCAGTCAGCACAGATCCCGACGCGGGGCTCGAACCCACGAACCGCGAGATCATGACCTAAGCGAAAGTCGGACGCTTAACCGACTAAGCCACCCAGGCGCCCCTAAAATATTTTTTTTAATTTATTTTTGAGAGACAGAGTGAGCGAGTGGGGGAGGGGCGGAGAGAGAGGGTGAGAAAGAATCAGAAGCAGGCTCTGTACTGTCAGCAGGGAGCCCAATGTGGGGCTGGAACCCACAAACCCCCAGATCATGACCCCAGCCAAAACCAACAGTCGGGACGCTTAACCCAGACTGAGCCACCCAGACGTCCCTCTTCTTTATGATTAAATCGAAGATTTATTCTCCATTACCTTTGTCATGGTTCACAGACTTTAGCATGAAGGTGGAGTGGGGCAATGGAAAGGACAATGAACTAGTTCGAACCACTCTCCAGCCACAACTGGCCTATTCTCAATCATACCACTTTCTCTCCTGGGCGTTTACACTTGTTCTCTCTCTCCACACTATTCCTCCCTTGGCTGCCTCCGTTCAAACATCACCACCTCATACAAACCTTCCCTGAACATCTAATCTAAATTAGTCTTCTCAGACCTTTAATACATCACTCAGTTTAATTTCATTTCTTTCATGAAACTGACCACACTTTAATCATCTCTTTATGTCCACGCACCCCACTCCCCAATTCTAGAAAGGCAGGGGCTTTGTCTAGCTGGTTCTCTGGATCTATCCTCCAGTGCCCCAAACTAGGCAAATAGGTATTTAATCAATGAATGAGAATTACCTCAGATTTACCTCTGTTCTGTCAAGCCCTCTATGCCCTCCATTCCCTGAGGGCTCTACACCCCACTTTTAATGGGAACACCATTTTTACATTACTTGGAGGTTCACAAAGTAGCCTGGACTCCATTTTCTGGGCAGAGCCCCTCAAATGATCTTGAGAAGGGAGGTATGGCCTGGCAAGAACCACCATTCTCCCCATTTTACAGTTCAGGAAATCGAGCCTCAGAAGGGATTCACCCGCAGCCATGCCAACACGGGCAGGAGCCCTGAAGGGTGTCCAGGCTCCGAAAAGCCTTTCCCGCGAGCCAGCGCCGTGGACTCAAGACACTTCATCACCTTTATGACTATTGTTCTACGGTACTCATTCTGGACGCTTTCCAGGACTAGAGAAGGTGCCCGGCCCCTTGCCGCGTCCCGGCACGCCCCAGCCTCTTAACCCAGGCCGCGCCCCCGCGCGCCCCGCCCCCGACCCCGCCCCCACCGCCCCAGCTTCACGCCGCGTCGCGGCCTCTGCTCCCGCCCCGCCAGGGCTCCCGCTCCCCGCGGGGACCGCCCCTCCCGTCCTAACCAATCAGCAGAGCTCGGGGGGCGGAGCCGCAGGACCCATCCCTCCTATCTGGGCACCAATTGGCCCCGTCAGCCATCGCTCATGAAGTTGCGCCCCGCACCCGCCTTCCTCCTTTTCCTCCACCCTCCCTTCAGAAAAAACGGCGGTTGGGCCGCGGCGGTCTCCAACGGCGGGCGGGAAGCGGAGGGGCGAGAAGCCAGGGAACTAAGGAAGGAGGGACTGCAGGGAGGAGGAGGAGGATGAAAGGGAGGAGGAGGGGAGCCCAGCCCAGCCGGAGCCATCTCCATCGAGAACAAAATGGCGGCGCTGGCGAAGGGCCAGCTGTGAGGCGGGGCCGCGGCCATTCCCCCTCCGCCCCCACCCCCGCGCCGGCCGGGCCGGTCAGGGGGAGCCCGCTCGCTTCGCCTGCCGCGGGCGGGGAGGGGAGGGGAGCGGCCCGGCCCACTATGCAAAGCGTCCGGCGCCGCCGCCGCCGCCCCGTGGCAAAGGTAAAAGGGTCGGGTTCAGCCGCCGTCCCAGCGGCTCCATGTCCGCGCGCCAGGCCCGCCCCCTCCGCCGCCGGCCTGAGCCCGCCCCGGCCCCTTTTCAATTTTACCTCAGGATTTGGCGCCAAAGCGGCCTCAAAGCAGGTCCCGTGTCTGCGGCGGGCAGCCCCCGACGCGGAGGGCAGGTTGCGGGGAGGCCGGGCTCCCGGCGTTGGCGGATGGCGGGAGCCCCGGGGCCGCGGGCTCGCGGGGCAGCAGGCAAGAGAAGAGACGCCGAGGTGGGAGCGGGGGCGGCGGGGGCGGGCCCGGGGGCGCCGCCGGGGTCGCGGGAAAGGGGGGGTTTGTTATTGTTTTTGTCAGTGAAAGGTCAGAGTTCGTGACCCCGGTGCCGCCGCCGCCGCCGCCCGCGCGCTGGTAGGAGGAGGGCGAATGTTCTTCTTCCTCTTCCCAGCGCCAGCCTCGCCGCGGCCGCGGGGGGCGGGCGAGCACCCGATTGGCTGAGACGCGCGCGCGCACCGGAACGCCGCGGCCGGCGCTGGTCCATCCGGCCCCTCCGCGGCCCGCGGGCCCGGCGGCGGGCGGGCGCCGGGGTCAGCGCGGTCGGCCTTGGGCCTCCGCCCCGGACTCGTACTGCTTAGCCGCCGGACGAAATTTAAATGGCGCGGCCGCTTCTGTTTCCAGGGCAAAGGGCCGGTTGGTCGTCTTAAAACCTAGGATCGCCGGACACCGTTATTCGGGTGCAAGCCCCCCCTCCCTCCTGGGGGACCTAGAGCTCCGCGAGGCCAGGTGGGGCCAGTGTTCTCCTTGTGACCTCCTACATCCTGGCCTCCCGCCGAGCTGAAGCCTCTGTGTTTGTTGATTGAAGAAGCAGTCACAGCAGAGAGCCTATAGGTTAAAAGTGGGTGGTTTATTGATGAGTATTGGATTGTTTGTGCCTTACTCGTTACTCATGGTTTTTATTTAGGTTCTAAAGGTTTCCAGTTTCTGGCAGTATTAGGAATTAAAATCGTCCAAAACCTGTTATTTATGGTCTTTTAGTGAACATGCGACCCAAATCTTAAGTCTTTTCCCCTCTCCCCGCGATTTGGAAGTAGTAAACAGCGATATATAAGTGTATATATAAAACAACGCTTTGCGAAATTACTTAAAAGTGCTTCTCTTGATCTCAGGAATTTCGGGTTGTGGGTTTTCTTTAGATGTTTCTTTCGTTTTAAGTTATGGTTTTTGACTTGTTTAGAAGGTAGCCTAGGTGCCCTGAAGTTTTTTGGCTAGACTTTCCTTGATTATCATGCTTTGTAGCAGGATGATACTCTGGTTTGATTTTTTTTTTTTTTTTGCACTTTTCTTGTTTGTTTCGAATAGATACTGATTGCGGGATGGAACGATTAACCTTTTTTCTTAAACATTTGCAGTTTGATCGGGCTGACCCCAACTTTTGAGTACTTAGCCCTAATGTATTTCTGTTAAAAAATGCTTTACATGCACTCATTTATTATTCTCCCATGTTCTCACTTCGAAAGAAGTGCGGAAAAGAGTTAAATTGGTAATGTCCTGGTGAATCATACAGATTCTGAAGCTGGAAGGGGCCTCCAGAAAGGATATGGTCCAGTCCTCCTCTGGCAGGAAGATTTTACAGGAGAGGCAGGTGAGAACAAGAAAGGTCAAGAGATGTGCTTATGGAAACATGCTATTTTGATGGTACATCCTTGTAAATATGAACTGCATTTATAATTGTGTACTCATAAAAATTAGTCTTTTTAATGTTAAATGATGCTTTTAGATACTGTGTAAAAGTTCACACATCAGTGAGTTTTGGGTTTTTTTGTTTGTTTTGCAAACACATTACAGTTGTGCTAGTTTTGAAGTAAATACTAAACAATCAATTGATATTTCTATAATGGCCTATCATTTTCTTATTTTCTTCACTTACTACTCAGCAGTGCTATGAACAGTTATTTCCTTTTACTGAGGTGTAGGAATTGAGGCCCAGGTGAGGCAAGCAATCTGCCAGATGTTACAGGTGCAGTAAAGGGGCCCAAAGGACTAGGTAAAGGTTAGAGGACTCTTACCTAGTCCTCTAACCTTTACCCTTACTTAGCCCTCTAACCTTTACCTAGTCCTTTGGTTTATGCTGTAAAGCCATGCTGCATCAGTGTGACCTGTTGGTAATAGCATTCAGTATATGTTCACTTAAAGACTAGATGTTTAACATTAAAAGTAGTATAGAAAGGGTTCATAATCTCACACTTTCTTCCCCTTAAAACACGCACATGTACACAGATCACAAACAGTATCTGCAGGTAACAGGCCTCTGCAGGCTGAGGTCAGTGCTGCCGTAGTGCCATTTTTTTTTTCTCCATTGTGTTTTCACTAGAACGCTTTTTAGTGAGTGTTTTAAGTGGCTTGAATCACAAAAAATATTCAAGTTGTATTATTATTACTTTTTACTATTTTATATTATACTATATACTTTTTGACTATTAATTATTAATAAGTATCCACATTTGTATTACCAGTGCTTTTATATTGTTTTATATGCCTTTCAAGGGATCTGGACTGGGGGGTGTACTTCAGAACTGGGGGTGTACTCTAAGTCCTTGGTGGTTGTGAAGCAGTAAGCTTGGGGAGGGGGCCTGGCATCGGCACTTTGAGCCACACATAGAATTCTTTTTTTTTCCCATCACGTAGAATTCTGTACCTACAGTCCTGAACTACTGATCTAATTCTGAAACTGTGTGGCAAAAATAAGATGAAACTTTTTGTTTCACCTTTTGAAATGCAGTTGTATTTTTGAACTGATTGATCACAACTGAAGGGGTCTTGACAGGAGTGATGGTCTGGCAGTGCCCAGCTGTTGTGTGTGTAGCATCTTGGCACCTACCCAGACTGTAAGCCCTGTATCAAAACGGGCCTGATCCCTGTATCTCTGCCCTTAACACAGTACCTAGTAAAGAATTTGTATGAAGTGGGCATTTACTAAATCAGCGCTTTCCCCAACAGTATATAGTGAACAATATTCATATTATCATCTAGCTTTTTGTTTAAAGTTCTTTTTTTAAATAGTTTATTGTCAAGTTGGTTTCCATATAACACCCAGTGCTCATCCCCACAAGTGCCCTCCTCCATGCCTATCACCCCCATCCCCTCCCCCCCCACTATCTTTTTTAATGCTTCCTTATTTTTGAGAGACAGAACCAGAGCATGAATGGGGGAGGGGCAGAGAGACAGGGAGACGCAGAGTCTGAAGCAGGCTCCAGGCTCTGGGCTGTCAGCACAGAGCCCAACACAGGGCTGGAACTCACGAACCATGAGATCATGACCTGAGCCAAAGTGAGATGCTTAACCAACTGAGCTACCAGGCTTGCCTATTATCTTCTTGCTCTTAAGATGAACTCAGTGAAAACAAAGTGGTGACTTCCGTGAGCTGAGATGTAAGCCTGGGGCTGTTAGCTCCTTACACAGTGTCCTGTGGATGAGACCCAGGTGTTCCTTCCTCTGCCCTCTCTGTTCCTCTGCACAGGTCGTTTTTTCATACCACTTAACTAACTTGTATGTTCTTTAGTCAGTCATTGTGTAACTTGTCCATGAGCTTCTTGAGAGCAGGAACTATATATGCAGTTTCATTTTATACATAGCCCAGAGAAAACATTTTTTTGCCTTCCAGGGTTATTTAAAATTTGTATTTAAATGATAAATGTCAATGAAAACTAAATTTTGGTTAAACAGTAATTGTAGATGTGCTTAATTTTTCAAGTTACTATTAAGCAAAGATTTTTTTTAACTTGTAAAGATACTGTTATTGTGGTAGCATAAATGATAGTTTTCCTTTTTATTTTAGACTGAGAACGATTAAAATCACCTTCATAAGTATTTATGTACATCTTTGCACCAACTTTTCTGTAATAGCTTACTCTTTATTACTATGTGTACTAATTTATGAAACTTGTTATGTCATTTATATAATTATGACATGTTTATAAAATAAACTTTTAAACCACATATAATTCTTAAGTCTCTTTAAGAACGTGGAATCTAAACAGATGTAATCAATGAAGACCAGATTGCATGTTCCTTATACTCACACGTTATTCTGTTAATCTTCACAATACTTTGTAAAGTGGATGGTATTATCTTGTTTTTATAGCTGAGGAGGCTGAAGCCTTAAAGGGGAGCATGACTTCTCCAAAGTCACACAGTCAGCAAGTGGTGGAACACTTATTCATAAGTTATTTCTGCTTATTTCTTCTGTCCTTGAGGACTTTGAGAAGAAAACCCTCTTCACCCCACCACCATGATCTGTCAAAGCCAAACTCTGTCACAGTAGAAGACTGCTTGGAGAGGTCTCAGATTCTGTATACAGGGCCCTTGTTTTTTCCCAGAAAGAGAAGAGTGACCCTGTGGTGGACTGGAGGGGACTGAAAAACAGGGACACTATGAGTGAGTTCCTGAGCCTCTCCAAAACAGCTTTCACTGGGAGATTTAGCCCCTTTAGTTTCTATCTGAGGCTTGAAGAGGTGTCAATTTCAAAGTTGTATTTGGCTCAAATATCTTGGAGCATAATGGAAAATTAGATTATCTTAGGAATATGCACCTGCCCTTGGTCCTCCATTTTAGAATGTGGATTGCTTGGAAGGGTGTTTTTTAAGTTCGCCTGATTAGGAACTGTCAATCTTGAGGTTTGGGAGTTGTTTTTTTTTTAATGTTTTATTTATTTTTGAGAGAGAGAGAGAGAGAGAGACAGCGTGAGCAGGGGAGGGTCAGAGACAGAGGGAGTCACAAAATCCGAAGACAGGCTCCAGGCTCTGAGCTAGCTATCAGCACAGAGCCTGATGCGGGGTTCGAACCCAGGAACGGTGAGATCATGACCTGAGCCGAAGTTGGACGCTTACCCGACTGAGCCACCCAGTCACCCCAAGGTTTGGGAGTTCTTTACAAGCCCAGAGCATAAATTTACTGTCTCCTGAAGGGTGGGGAAGAGGGGTGGGTCATTTGTCTCTATAGAGTGGGATTAGGGGATTTAAGGGTCTCCTGACTGCTTACAGAGACTCTCAGCTGATGCTCTGGTTAGTCCCACTCTAGCCTTCCCAGACACCTGTGCCTTCACATTCCCAAGCCTCTCCAGAGGGCCAGCTCTGTCTCACTGGGGTCCCTGCCTGCAGGCATTTTGGTATTTGTTTTCTCTGCTTAGTCAGCTGCCACTATCCATGCATGACTTCCAAAAGTGATTTGACTATTATTTTGATACTCTGTGCCTTTTCTTGCAGTTTCTTTGTTCTTAGGTTACATCTTTTTATTCATTTACTGTCCTAGTAGGTTTTAGAAAGGAGCCAAGAAATGTATGTTTCCTGGTTATCACTGCATTACTAGTCACATCCAAACTCAAGAGCTTAAAAACCACTTTCTTAAATTACTATCTTACAGTTCTGGGGGGCTCAGATAGGAGGTTCTCTCCTGATGTCTCTTATGGTTGCAGTCAGAAAGTAGCTGGAGCCAAAATCATCTGAAAGGCTTCCTAGTCTGTCTAGAGATTGATGCTGGTTGTGAACCCTGACATGTGACCTCTCTGTGGCCTGGGCGCTTCATAGCATGGTGGACACATTCCAGGAGTGCACAAGAGAACAAAGTAGGTTTTTATAGAAGTCACTTCCTCTGCTACTCCTTGAGGCAT